GTGTGAGTCGTTCGGGCTCTTCGTCCTGGTGTGAGTCGTTCGGGCTTCTCGTGGTGTGAGTTGTTCGGGCCCCTCGTCCTGGTGTGAGTCGTTCGGGCCCCTTCTCCTGGTGTGACTCGTTCGGGCATCTCGTGGTGTGAGTCGTTCGGGGCCTTCGTCGTGATGTGAATCGTTCGGGCGCCTCGTCCTGGTTTGAGTCGTTCGGGCCCCTACTTGTGGTGTTGAGTCGTTTTCGGGCTCTTAGTGGGGTGATTCGTGTTCGGGCCCCTCGTCCTGGTCTTTGTGAGTCGTTTCGGGCTCCTCCGTGGGGGGCCTCTGGGGGCCTCTTGGAGCCTCTTGGGGCCTCTTGGGGCCTCTTGGGGGCCTATTGGGGGCCTCCTTGCGGGCCTCTTGGGGCCTCTTGGGGCCTCTTGGGGGCCTCTTGGGGCCTCTTGGGGGGCATCATTGGGGCCTCTGGTGGGGCCTCTTGGGGGCTCTTGGAGGCCTCTTGGAGTCTCCTGGGGCATCTTGGGGCCATCTTGGGGCCTCTTGCGACCTCCTCAGAAGCGCAAATGAGCGCTGCCCCCTGAGAAGGACAAAATGAGCCCAAAACCTTCGTAAAATCAATGATTTTGCTATGGGGGAAGATGAGCGCGGCCCCCTCAGGAGGCCAAAATGGGGCCAAAACCGTAGTAAAATCAATGATTTTGGCTTCAAAGAAGAGGAGAGGGTTTTTTCTTCCCCCCCCCGTCGGGGCCAGAATCCTCGTGAGGGGTGTCGTTTTTTTAGCCCTCCCAGGAGTCGAAATTGACCCCCCTGGCGACCCGCGGCCCGCCCTCTCCAGGCCCAGGGGGAGGGGGTAGGGGGAGGGGTAAACCCCTCCCCGAAGGGGAAGAAGGGGGGTTGAGGACAGAGAGAGCTCGCTAAACCACTCACGCCCAAAGGGCTGGTGGGATTAAGTATGTGGGGTTCCTCGGCAGCGTAATTACGAAATCTGGAGTGCTGATCTCGCTCCTGCAGTGCGGGAGGCAGGCCCGCACCCCCGGCACGCCCGCGCCCCGAGAGGGCTTCGGCGGGAGGCTCTGTGGGCCACGTCCGGCGTCTGTCGGGCGGGGGCCACGCTGCGAACCCCACCCCTACCCCCTCCTCCCTCCTCCCTCCTCCCTCCTCCCTCCTCCCTCCTCCCTCCTCCCTCCTCCCTCCTCCCTCCTCCCTCCTCCCTCCCCCGTACCCCCCACGATTTCTGAGTGGGAGGGTGGGGTTCACTTCGCTCGGGACACCCCCCCCCTCAGAAATCGCCGTGGGGGGCAGGGTTCGCATCTGGCCCCCTAGTCTGGATGCCCAGATCCCAATACATATATATATATATATATATATATATATATAGATGTATGTATATATATATATATATATATAGTTCAGGCGCCTTCCTGCTTCACGAGCCGAGCTCCCTCCCCTCTGCCCTCCTCTCCGGGGGGGCGGGCGGAGGTCCGATGCTCTTCCAGCCTCGCCCTCGCGCTCTCGGGCCGCCTGTGGGGTTCGCACGTGGCCGCCCCCTTGGCCTGGGCCCCGGGAGGCCCTCGCCGCCACCGCCGGGCGCGCCCCGGAGCGCTGGCCAGGGCGCGCCCGCGGGCGAGGTCCGGGGAGCAGCGGCAGCGGCGCGCATCTCTCGCGATCCTTATGTCGGGCGTGTCCCCCTACAGGGGGATTTTTTCGACGACAAATAAACACAGTACCCCCAACATAGTCAAAAAGTAGTCCAGAAACAGTCTGGGGAGTACTGTTGGAGCATTTTTTGCTTATTTATGGGCATTTTTGGTGTATTTTTTGATTTGTCGTCGAAAATCCCCCTTTAAGGGGGACAGGCCCGACTTAATGCGATCCCCACGAGATCCTGTCGGACGGGGCCAGGGCGAGGACAGATCCGCTCCAGAGCCTCCCGGGACGCTCCGAGGAGGCCCCGGCGCCCGAGACATCCGCCGGGGCCGCCGGATCTCAGAGGTTCTCGGCTTCTGTCCTCACCCGAGGTTGTCCTCGTGCTGGCCACGTGGGTCTGCTGGCGTCGCGATTTTTTCCCGCAGCGGGCGATTCCTCCTCCTCCTCCTCCTCCTCGTTTTCCTCCTCCCTCCTCCTCCTCCCTCCCTCCTCTCCTCCTCTCCTCCTCCTCCACCTTCCTCATCCCTCCTCCTCCTCCTCCTCCTCCTCCTCCTGCTCCTCCTCCTCCCTCTCCCTCCTCCTCCTCCTCATCTCTCCTCTCCTCCTCCTCCTCCTCCTCCTCTCCTCCTCCCCCTCCGCCTCCTCCTCCTCCGGCGCCGCGGCCGTCGGCGTCGGGAGAGCGACATTGTCGCTGTCTGCGTCCTGCGTCCTCCTCGGCGGCGAGCGAGGTGGGGAAACGAGAAGGAGAAGACCTTCTCAGAAGGCGGCGGGGCTTCTCTCAGAAGGCCTCGGGGCTTCTCAGAAGTCTCTTCTGTGTCTTCGGGGAAGGCCCAGAGAGCTTCTCAGAAGGCTGGGGGACTTCCGAGCCTTCTGAGAAGGCCCGCCCCGTCTCACTTCTCCCCGGCGCTCGCCGCCGAGATCCGTGGACGATCCGATCCTTCCTCGCGATCCGATCCGGCCCAGGCTGGCCAGAGGAGGCCGAGTGCGCCCAGAATTTGCCCCGAGCCTCCTCGAGGTACCACCTCGGCGTGCTGAAGCGCCTGGTCGAGATGGGCGCGCTGCCCGACCACCTGTGCTGCACCTCGGTGGGCGCCATGTTCGGCGCCTTCGCCGCGGCTCACACGGACGCCGAGCTGCGCGCCGAGCTGGCCTCGCCGCGGGGCCTCTTCCGCAACCTCGGCCCAGAGCTGGACCCGTTCCCGCTGCCGTACTGGGTCGCGGCCTGGCGCTGGATGCGGCGGGGCCGCATGTACGACTACGGCCGCTACTACGACGTCCACGCCGCGCTGGTGTGCAGCGGCAAGCCGGGCCTGTCCCTCTGCAGGGGGACCATGCAAACATAGTCAAAAAGTCGTCTGGGGACGATCTTTCGACGATGTCTGACAAGATTTTGGGCATTTTTGGACTATGTCTCATTTTTCGTCCAGAATCCGCCGGCAGGGGGACACGCCCGACCTAAGTTCAGCGTCGTCGAGCCTATCCCTTGAGTCGGGCCCGAGGGTCAGAGAGCGCCTGCCCCTGCAGGACCACCGAGAGAAGTGGACGTCGAGGTGTGCCAGCGCCCCGCCGGTTCGGCCGAGGAAGGCGTGCAGAGTCCAACCAATCGCCTCTGTCTAGAGCTTACTCTTGGGCTTCTTAACAAGCGTGGAGGGGTACCCCCCCGACGGGGCTCAACCTCGTCTCGTCGTCGCGCCGCGACGGGGGTCGGAGCGCCTTCGGCGCGCGGTGGCTGCCCGCGACGGGGGTCGACGTGGGGCTGTCGGCGCGGGTGCCGCCCCCCCCCCCGACGCTTACCAAGAAACTCGGAGTAAGCTTGACGCCGGGTGTGGTGCAGCAGTTTCAGCTCGACCGAACAGGCTGGTTGCGCCCCTTGACGTCCGCTTGGGGTGTTCTGCAGACCTTGACCCCCCAGCCCCGCTCAGCCTACGGTAGGTTCGCGTCGTGTCGACTGGCGGCGACCCCGCCGGCGGCGTTCGATTTTGAACGCCGCGGGCGACCCAGAATCCTTCGATGTGGAACGACTTGGACGTTCCGGAAACGGCCGATCGTGCGAGGTGGAACGATCTCCGCGGTGTCAGAAGCCAACGCCGAAGTCGGCGCGACACGAGCCTGACGCATCCCCATTCCCACTGAGCCATGATGGGGGGCCACATGCGAACCCTACCCCTGCCCCCCACGATTTCTGAGGGCGGGGTGGCGTTCACTTCGCTCGGGAGCTCCCGAACGGAGTGAACCCCACCCTCCCCCTCAGAAACCGTGGGGGGTAGGGGTAGGGTTCGCATGTGGCCCCCTAGAGAAACCCTGCACACCAACGAGGCATGCGAACACGCGTGTTTCGTCGACACCAGAGAAGGCGTGCCTGGAGCGGGCTGCCCATCCTCCTCCTCCTCCTCCTCCTCCTCCTCCTCCTCCTCCTCCTCCTCTACATGATGCCTCGGCCCCACCGGCCCGCCCCCTCCCGCGGGGCGTCCGTGCCGGGGCGACGCGGCGGCGACCCATGGCGCAGAGGCGTCCAGTGGTCGAGCGCCGCAGGGGGGCCCGGAGTCGTCCGCTGTGGAGCGGTCTGCCGCATTTTCCCTGTGGGCGGAGGGCAAAGGCTTGGCATCGCTCGGACGTGTGCATTTTTCTTTCGGCGAGGACCATCGGGGAGCACCCCTGACCATTAGGCGAAAAAAACACGCACGAAGCCGAAAAAAAACCACAGGGAATGGACGTCCGAGCGATGGCCAGAAGGGTGAAATCTGAAGTGCTGTTTCGATGGATCTTCGAGGTCTGAGCCTGCAAAAGGGGCATCACGAGACGGGTGGGTTTTCGAAGTCTGAAAAAGCCCGTCTGGATTCCACCCTGAGCCCTCCAGCCCAAGAAAATGCGCAGGGCCTGGCACTTGAAAAGCCGTCGCTCGTTGAAGCTCACGACGACCCGCGTGGTGTCAGGAGCCCCAGGCCGGAGTCGCCACGACACCGCACCTCTGCCGCAGGTGGGGACGACCCCCCCGCGAAGCCCGACAGGACAGGTCTCTCGACCCTTCTACCAAGGAGGGCAAGTCGGCCAGGTGGGCCCCGAGGCCACGCGTGTGAGCGTTTTCTGAATGATCGGTTTGCCGATCGGCGCGGGCCCTCGCACCCCCCCCTTTGGAGCCCGTTTCGAGCAGGTGGAGCCTCCCCCACAGGACGCACGCTTGCAGACAGCTGCACTAAGCAGAGGTCCGGAGCCAGACCCCCCCCCCTCCCGCCCCCCTTCCGCCCCATGTCGAAGCGCAGAATACGAAAACGCTCACCGTACGGATCGGCGAATCGATGCCCAGGTGTCCCGGGGGCTCACGTTCGCGGAGGCCTTCGCCAGGACCGGGCGCACGCTGACCATCACCTGCGTCCCGGCAGGAGGGGGCCCCGCGCTGCTGCTGAACCGCCACACGGCCCCGCACGTCCTCATCAGGCCTGCCGGCAGGGCTTCGGGCTGCGCAGGGGCGCCCCCCTCGGGAAGTCTCGGCTGGCCTCGGCGGCCCCCCGAGGAGGAGGAGGAGGAGGAGGAGGAGGAGGAGGAGGAGGAGGAGGAGGAGGAGGAGGAGGAGGAGGAGGAGGAGGAGGAGGAGAGGAGGAGCCCCAGCTGGCTCGAGGCGCCCCCCTGCCTCGGGGGGCCTGTTTCGGGGGGGGGGGGGGGGGATGGGCACCGACACAGCGGTACGCCGGTTTCCAGGAGCGCATGGGAAAATCTGCGGGGTGGAGGGAAAGAGGGGCATCCAGAACATGTGGGCGAACGTGAATCTGTGCCCCCCTGGGCCGCTTTACCGCTGAGGCCAGCCTGGACCACCTGGGCACAGCTGTCTGTGCGCAGTCCGCAGCCATGCCTTGTTCAGTTCGATCACCCCCCCAGGGGCGACCGCCACTGGGGGGGGGGGGATGGCAGCGTCTGAACGGCATTGTCGCCACGAGGAACCAGGAGCAAGGATGAGGAGGGGGGGGGAGGAGGAGGAGAGGAGGAGGAGGAGGAGGAGGGGGGAGGAGGAGGAGGAGGAGGAGGAGGAGGAGGAGAAGGAGGAGGAGGAGGAGGAGGGGGAGGAGGAGGAGGCGGAGGAGGTCGATGACTCATGTTAATACTACGAATCAGAATAACACGACTAATAATAAAAGACTAACGATAATAACACGAGTAAGAAGAAGGCACGAACATAACATGAGTAATAATAATAGAACTAACGATGGTGAGGAATCGGATAAGCATACTACTAATAATAAGAAACTTAATGCTACGACTCGCAATAACATTAGACTAATCGTCATTACTAATAATAATACTAAGAAGACGAATAATAAAACTAATACGAATAAGACAACTCCTGATATTAATAAGAGGAACACTAATTCTAATAATAATGCGAATAAGAAATATGCGCATACTACGAGCAATACTGATACCCATCATACTAACACTAAAAGTACTACTACTAATGCTGATTGGAGTAAGAAGACAAGTCATACTAAGCATACTAAGAAAACCACACATGAGAAGAACACTACTAATATGAATACTACTATGAAGAATATTAGGACTCACAATACCAATGCGAATAATGATAATAAAACTAATACTATAAATAAGAAGAACAAGAGGAGGATGAAATGAGAAAGATGATGATGAGGAGGAGCGGGAGGAGGAGGAAGAGGAGGAGGAGGAAGGAAGGAGAGGAGGAGGAGGAGGAGGAGGAGTAGGTGAGGAGGAGGAGGGGTGAGGAGGGAGGTGGAGGAGGAGTAGGAGGAGGAAGAGGAGGAAGGATGAGGAGGGGAGGAGGAGGAGGATGAGTGGAGGAGGAGGAGGAGGTAGGAAGAGGAGGAGGAGGAGGAGGAGGAGGAGGAGGATGGAGGGGAGGTAGAGAGGAGGGGAGGAGGAGGTGGAGGAGGAGGAGGAGGAGGAGGAGGAGGGGGAGGAGGGAGGGGGATGAGGGGGGAGGTCGACGAGGAGGACGACGACAAGGTCCGCCATCTGCGCGTCCTGCAGCATGCCGTTCCTCATCGAGGCGGTCCCGCTCGTCGAGCGCGCCCCCGACGGCGCGCTGCGCCCGTGGGCCGCCGTGGCCCCCGGCGCGCTCTTCCGCGATGGCTCGCTGGGGCAGGAGTTTTGTTGTTGTTGTTGTTGTTGTTGTTGTTGTTGTTGTTGTTGTTGTTGTTGTTGTGGTTGTGGTTGTGGTTGTTGTTGAACATTATTTATTCTAAAGAATAATTATTGTTGGGCCCCCTGGTGCGCGCCCCCCCTGCGCCGCCTAGGCCGCAGCTACATTTTCATCATTTTCGTGAGGAAGCCTCAGAAAAGAGGGTGTGTACAGGATCCGGTTGTTTTGTTGTAATCCGCTTTCCCTTGCAAAAAACAATAGAAAATTGAATTTCTTGTTCTAATATAATCAAATTTCAAGAATCCCTTGCAAAAAATAAGGTAAAGTGGACATTCGCGCGCGCAAGACGAAATCCTTCCAAAAGCTTAGTGTTCGGAGCGATTTTAACATAAAAACATCCAAAAACCAATGGTTTTTCAACAAAAAAATGTCAAAATCTCATCCCGCGCGCTCTTGCGGATTCGTAGGAAAACCAACATTTTTAAAACATTTCTGTCAAACGGGCTTTTGCGAGCAACTTTTTCGAACTTCTGCGACAACGGTTGCGCACCTGCCAGGGCCATCATCCCTGTCAAATAATACCATGCGGGGACACACCGCTCCAAAAAACCGTGGGCTTTGACTTCTTGGAAGAATTTTTAGCATCGCGCATCGATTAAAATCACACGAATCGCACCGTAGGTCCTGGAAGGCTTACCAACTTCTGTGGGTTAACAAGGCTTAACAACTTCTGTGGGTGTACGAACGTAGGCTTAACAACGTCTGTGGGTGTGTACTCCACGCCAGTGTAGTAGCCACGGTCGTCCGCAGGCCACGAAGTGAAGTGTCCGAACGTCATAGGGCGGGAAGCTGGGTGTGGGTGGTGGCGAAGAGTCGTGTGGATATTTGGTAGAGCTTGCAGTGCCCCCCCACAAAGTGGGGGTATTGGCTGGCGTCGCATGAAAACCCTGGCACTGGTGAGAACACTGAGCGTTCGGGTAAAGTGATTGTTGTTGTTGTTGTTGTTGTTGTTGTTTTTGCCTTGCGATTCGGTCGGCAAGGACATTAAAGATGATCGATATTCCTCCTCCTCCTCTTCCTCCTCCTTCGTTTCCTCCTCCTCCTCCTCCTCCTCCCCCTTCCCGCCCTCCCTCGCACCCTCCCTTCCTCCCTCGCTCCTCTCTCCCTCCCTCTCCTCCTCCTCTGCTCCTCCTTTTCCCTCCTCTTCCCTCCCTCCCTCCCTCCCCTCCGCCTCTTCCTCCTCCTCCTCCTCCTCCTCCTCCTCCTTCCCTCTCGTCTTCCTCCTCCTCCTCCTCCTTCCCTCTCCTCCTCCTCCTCCCTCCCTCCCTCCCTCGCTCCCTCCCTCTCTCCTTCCCTCTCCCCCTCCTCCTCCTGCAAGGACAGTGAGGACGATCGTTTTCCCATTTGTTTTATGCCGCAGCGCGGCAGCGGCAGTCTGCACGCGCCTTCGGCAGGCCGGGAGTAATCAGCCCGGGTGCACGGGGAAGGAACAGAAAGGCGGCCGCGGAAGAGGGGGGAGGGGAAGAGGGAGAGCACCCACCCGGCGGGGACCGCCAGTCGACCTTCCGCAGTCAGAGGAGGAAGATGTGCCTCATCACTCACCAAACCGCCCCAGCCCAACCCGAAGGCCTCCACTTGCCCTCCATTTCCAGGGTGGGTGGGGGGGGGTCGGGGAACATCGAAACAACACATTTCGGGTTGGGGTGGTGACATGGTAGGTATCAGAGCGCGAATTACCTGCCCCGCTTTCGCTTCCAGGCAGAACCAAGTCATACTACGCGCCTCCTCGTCAAGCGGCCTGACCAGTACAGGCCGTAGCTTGGCATCGCTTGGTGTCTCTTGGAAGCGAGGGTGGTCAAAAACGAGGTAGGTTTGTTTGCCCCCTGAGGCGCAGTGCCGTTTTGAATACATGCTCCGCGTGCGGATCATGTATTAAATCATGCAGGGATTCAGTACTAAAAATAACGATGAGTTCATGCATACATTTATTCGTACATTAGTCTTTTTTAAAAATCCGATGTATCAAAAACTGCCCTGTAGTCATTCCCTACCTAGGCTCTGCCTAGAAGGGTTCTTACTCTCTTAGCTTAAAGGGGCCGGGCAATGTAAATCGCCCCGGGCGGTTCCCCCAGTCCCCGCCCCGCGGTTCCTCCAGTTGCGCCCCTTGGGCTCCCCTAGCTTAGCTTCCTTAGCTTACCTTAGCTTAGCTTAGCTTAGCTTAGCTTAGCTTAGCTTAGCTTAGCTTAGCTTAGCTTAGCTTAGCTTAGCTTAGCTTATCTCATCTTAGCTTAGTTTAGCTTAGCTTAGCTTAGCTTAGCTTAGCTTAGTTTAGCTTAGCTTAGCTTAGCTTTGCCTAGCCTAGCTTAGCTTAGCTTAGCTTAGTTTAGCTTAGCGTAGCTTAGCTTTGCTGGGCTTAGCTGTGCCTAGCCCAGCTTAGCTTAACTTAGCTTAGCATAGCATAGCTTAGCCTACCTTAGCTTATCACAGTGCAGCACAGCGCAGCGCAGCATTAGCACAGCACAGCATAGCATAGCATAACCAAACATAGCATAGCATGTCATATCATAGCTCAGCAAGCCATATCATACCATAGCATAGCATAGCGCAGCATAGCATATCATAGCATAGCATCGCTTACCATAGCATAGCACAGCATATCATAGCACAGCACATCACAGCACATCATATCATGGCATAGCATAGCGCAGCATAGCATATCATAGCATAGCATCGCTTACCATAGCATAGCATAGCGCATCATATCATATCATATCATAGCATAGCATAACGCATCATAGCATATCATAGCATAGCATAGCGCAGCATGGTATATCATGGCATAGCATAGCATAGCAAATCATATCATAGCATTGCATAGCATAGCCTAGCATAACACAACGCAGCCGAGCGTACCCTAGCATAGCATAGCATAGCATAGCACAGCATAGCACAGCATAGCATAGCATAGCATAGCATAGCATAGATGTAGTTGTTGCTTTCCGAAATGCTCCAACTCCTAGGTAGGGTCGCACTGGGATAATTTTAAAATCCTATGTATCAAAAACTGCCCTGTAGTCAGTACCCATGCCGCTGCCCTGCCCTCGCTCTCCCCTCCGGTTGGGCCTCTCTGGGAGGCCCGCCCCGCCGCCCCGGGGGACTCGCCTCGAGCCTCTGGGCCGTGGGGGCCTCCTTGGAACTCTTGGGGGCACCTCGGGCCAGGGCCACTCCTGGCCTCCTCCTCTTCGTCCTCCTCCTCCTCCTCCTCCTCCTCCTCCTCCTCCTCCTCCTCCTCCCCCTCCCCTCCCTCCTCCTCCCCCTCCCCTCCTTCCTCCTCCTCCTCCTCCTCCTCCTGGGATTGTCACTCGGTGCCAGCGCTGTGCTCTCCCTCGTGCCCGGTCGCGAACGCTGCGCCCCGAGCACGGCCAACGGGGCGCCCTGGAGCCAGCGGGATGAGCGACTTTCCGAGCTTACCTCAACGCGGGCCCGTCCCTCTGCAGGAGGAGTATTCAAGATAGTCAAGCATAGCCTGGGGGCGATTTATTTTGACTACTTTGGAGTACTTTGGTGGACTATTTTTTAATTTTTGTACATGCCCGACCTCAAGCTTACCCTTGCATCCTCCCCCTTCGGCCCATCCCTGGCCGCTTTCGCTGGCCGCGCCCCGCTCGCAGAGTGCCGGCATGGCCTCGGTGGCCCTATTGCTATTTTTTTTTTTTTTTGTTTGTTTTGTTTTATATTTTTTCTCTTTTGCTTTTTTGCTTTCTTTGCCTTTTTTTTTTATTTTTTTTGTTTTTTTTGTTTTTGTTTCTTTTTTTTCCTTTTTTTTGTGTTTTTGTTTTAGTTTTTTTTTGCTTTTTTTTTTTTTTTTTTTTTTATTTTTTTTTTTTTTTTTTTTGTGTTTTTCATTTTTTTCTGTTTCTGTTTTTTTTTTTTTTTTTTTTTGTTTGTTCTATTTTTTTTTAGTTTTTTTTGTATCTTTTTGTTTTTTTATGTGCATCCTTACCGTTGCGTCCGCCCCTCTTTTTTTTTTCTCTTTTTTTTTTTTTTTTGTTTTTTTTTATTTTTGTTTTTTTTTTATCTTTTTTTTTTTCTTCCCACACGAGCTGACTGTGACCCAGGCCGCGCCCCGCTCGCAGAGAGTCGGCATGGCCTTTCGCGGCCCTTGCATCCTCATCGTGCGTCCTTACAGTGCCGTTTTTAATACATGCTTCGCGTGCGGATCATATAAAATGCAGGGATCTAGTATTAAAACAACCATGAGCTCATGCACGAATTTATTCATAGATTAATCATGGATTACAGATCCTATGTTTTTGAACATCCCATGTATCAAAAACTGCCCTGTACTCTACGAGTTGGCTGTAGCCCAGGTTAGCGGGCCCGCCCGCCCCCCAAGGAGAGCCTGGCCCTGTCGGTTGCGCAGGTCCTACGGGGGGTGGGCAGTTGTCGGGGCGCGCGGGCACGCGAGGGGCTGCCCAAGGCGAAGAGGTTGGGCTGTCGGCCGGCACCCGCCTCGCCCGCCCAGATGATGATGATGATGATGATCATGATGATCATGATGATGATGATGATGATGATGATGATGATGATGACGATGATAATGCTGCTGATGATGATGATGATGAAGATGATGCTGATGCTGATGCTGATTCTGCTGATGATGATGATGATGCCGATGCTGATGCTGATGCTGATGCTGCTGATGATGATAATGCTGATGATGCTGATGCGGATGATGATGATGCTGCTGATGATGATGATGCTGATGCTGATGATGATGATGCTGCTGCTGATGATGATGATGATGATGATGATGCTGATGATGCTGATGCTGCTGATGATGATGATGATTCTGTTGATGATGCTGATGATGATGATGATGCTGATGCTGCTGATGATGACGATGATAATGCTGCTGATTATGATGATGATGATGATGCTGATGCTGATGCTGATTCTGCTGATGATGATGATGATGATGATGATGATGCCGATGCTGATGCTGATGCTGATGCTGCTGATGATGATAATACTGATGAATCTGATGCTGATGTTGATGATGATGCTGCGCTGCTGATGATGATGTGATGTTCATGATGATCATGATGATCATGATGATGATGATGATGATGATGATGATGATGATGTATGATGTGGATTATGCTGATGATGATGATGATGATGAATGGGGATGGTGAGTGGTTGATGGTTGTGATGATGTGATTGATGATTATGATGAAGAGGATGCTGATGCTGATTGATGATGATGCATGATGAGGATGATGATGATGATGATGCTGCTGCTGCTGATGCTGATGCTGATGCTGATGTGCTGTTTGCTGATGCTGTGCTGCTTGATGGTGGTGGTGGTGGTGTGGTGATGATGATGATGATGATGATGATGATGTGATGTCGATGATGATGATGATGATGGATTGATGATGATGATCAAGATGATGATGGATGATGATGTGATGATGATGGATGATGATGATGATGATGATGATGATGATGATGATGATGAGGAGAGGAGGAGGAGGAGGGGAGGAGGAGGAGGAGGAGAGGAGGAGGAGGAGGGGAGGAGGAGGAGGAGGAGCGGAGGAGGAGGAGGAGGAGGAGGAGGTGAGACGACGTGTGGTTGGGGGGGGGGGTAGAGGCGGCAGGCCTGTTAAGAAGGCGCCGTGGGGAGAAAAGCCCCTTGGTTCCTGCAGTCGCGCTCCTTGTGGTAGCACGATGGACTGTACGCCGCAGGCAGCCCGGAACAGTGGAGTTCGTGGCTGCGGGGGGCCCCGCAGGGTCCGCGGGCCCTACGGCCCCACGCGCCCCGCCCCGAGAGGGCCTGGGCTTCTGGAGCGCACGGCGTCTCCCTCGCTCGATCGCTCGCTCGCTCGGCTCTCACGATTCAGTCGGGCGTGTCCCACTGCAGGAGGGAGCTTGCAAAATAGTGCAACAAATGGTCTGGGGACGATTTTTCGACTGCTTCTGTTGTCATGTTTTCCTCGTCCCAAATCCGCCTGTAGGAGGACACGCCCGACCGAATCTCATGGGCGAAAAACATATCCGTATCGGCAGCTCCTCGCGGGCGGGAAGCAGATCCGCACCCCTGAGATCCCGGCGTCGCACTTTTTGTCACGACGGGCGTCTCTGCCCCGCTTCGGGCCCTGGGACCCTCACGGATCGATCCAGCTCGAGGAGTGACGCAGGACGACGGGGTCCAGGGGTCCGGTCGCGATTTTTTGGCCATGCTTTTTGGGGGGGGCAGCGCCAGGTCGGAGGGGGATGGCCGCGGCCTCGCGGGCCGGCCGCCCCGGGCCGCGACCCCGCGGCCAGGGCGCGTTTTTTTTTTTTTTTTTTTTTTTTTTTTTTTTTTTTTTTTTTTTTTTTTTTTTTTTTTTTTTTTTTTTTTTTTTTTTTTTTTTTTTTTTTTTTTTTTTTTTTTTTTTTTTTTTTTTTTTTTTTTTTTTTTTTTTTTTTTCTATTTTTTTTTTGTTGTTGTTTTCGCGCGGAGGCCCCGCGCGGAGCGCAGCCGTGCGGCCGCTCGTCCGCGGGAGGGCGCCCTGGAGTGCAGGCCGCGACCGCCGCTGGGAGCCCTGGCCCTATCAGCTTATTTACGTCACGGTTCGCTCTTGGGAGCCTTGGTGTGAAGAGCTTTTTGCGTTACCGATCGCTCTCTATTTGGCTTCTCTGGGCCTAGAGGTGGACACCAACATGAAGCGAAGCGAACTCTATATACACACCGACGCTTCGATTCCGACCCCGCGCTGAGATTCGCACAGGAGCGCGGATCCTGGTGCATACGGGATCCTGGTGTATACATTTTTCGTTGTTTCCCCTGAACACCGGGGGAACAGTATACACCACACCACCCCGACGTCGTTCCCGACCCTCAAGAAGTCGTGGGATTGTGCAAAACAACCCGCCACTGGTAATGTATATGTTCCAGTTTCCGACAACACCAAAATCGGCGGTGTGCTTCCACCGAGGGAAGATGATCCCGATCTCGGTGATGGTGGTAACATTCGGGCCTTCTAGGTGGCCGAAAGACTAGCACCAGCACCAAAATCCAGGGTCATCTTCCTCCCGTGGAGGCAACCCCCTGAGTTGGTGCTGGTGCCCATTTCCAGGGCTCCTGCGCGAGGGCGCGGATCCTCCCGATTTAGTAATAAAAGGAAGGGGGTCTGGACCCTCCAAGACAAGCCATTTCAGACCTCCCCCGTGGGAGAACCCTCCAAAACATCGTCCCCAGACCCCCCCAGGCCCTCCAGGATAGCCTGGACGAGACCCCCCCCCGAAATGAGACCCCCTCCCTTTATTACGAAATCTGGAGTACGGAGATATGTGCACCGCTCGTGAGAGCACCCCCCCCCGTCCAAGAAACCCTGACCCCCGTCGGTCGCGCAGGTCCGAAGGGCGTGCGCAGCACGTCACACGCCTTTCTCAAACCCCCCCCGGCCCCGCCCGAAGGGCCCGGACCCTCCCAGAGTTCGGGGGGGGAGGGGGGCGTGCGGGCTCCGTCGTGCTTCCTCCACGTCCTGGAGTGCGCCCCCACCGGAAACCGACGATCCCAGCGGTGACTTCGGCTTGGGTGGGGGTGTTCTGGTAGGTCGCCAGCATTGGTACGTGGGGCTGCCCAGAGCGAACAAGTCGGGTCATTGGCCAGCCCCTCCCTCCCCCCCCACCAGTGGATTACCCGGGTTATTACCGAAGAATGAGAAACGGTCTCCAGGAGGTGCCGCGGAGGCGGCTGGAGCAGCAGCTCAACTGCAGGTGGACGGTCGTCTCGCAGGTGATCGGAACGGAGGAGGAGGAGGAGGAGGAGGAGGAGGAGGAGGAGGAGGAGGAGGAGGAGGAGGAGGAGGAGGAGGAGGACGAGGACGCAGTCGCACGTCTGCGAAGCCCACTGCCCCGCTGCGGCCGCGGCCGCGGCCGTGCCGCCGTTTTTTGCTGCCGCCAGGGCTCCCCCTGGCCCTCCGCTGGGGGCGAGGAGGCGCCGCGGGCGGGCCTCTGCCTTCCCACAGCGCGCCTTGTGTGCCCGTGCGCAGCGCGAGTTGCAGGGAGCGGGATCGGACTCGGCACCCAGCGGAGCAGGGCCCTCCTCCTCCTCCTCCGCCTCCTCCTCCTCCTCCTCCTCCTCCTCCTCCTCCTCCTCCTCCTCTCTCTCTCTCTCGCTCCTCCTCCTCCTCCTCCTCCTCCTCTTCCCCAGCTGCGAGCAAGGGGGGGAAGTGAGAAGGAGAATGCCTTCTCAGAAGGCGGCGGGACTTCTCAGAGGCCCCTCGCGCCTTCCGAGCGGTGTTCCGTCTCTCCGGGGAAGGCCCAGAAAACTTCCCAGAAGGCCAGCGGACTTCCGAGCCTTCGGAGAAGGCCCGCCCCTTCTCGTTCCCCCCCCTTCGTTCGCCGCCGATCGAGCTCGATCCCCCCAGGCTCCTCCTGGGGGGTGCAGACGCACTAGTTTTCCGAGCCGCGTCTGGCCGTGGCGCCCGCCCCACCCCTCGCCCCCCTCGCCCTCCCCCGAAGACCAACTTATACCGTTGCTTCGGCTCGGCGCAGGCATGACCCTTCGGAGCTCCGGAGGTTGGTGCTCGTTCCGCTTCTCTTCCTTTCTCCAGGGCGGAGGCCCCAGTCCTCTCCTCCTCTCCAGCTTCTCCTGTGACCCTCGCCCTCGTCGGGACCGAGAGAGCGGGAGGAGGACGAGGGATGGGGGCAGGGAGGAGCTGAGCTGAGGAGGGGCGTGGAGACGCACATCTGGGGCTCTCCGCGTCGAGAGGCATTCTTCCTCCGAGGTGAACCCCCACGTGGTGCCGCTGGGGTGGCCGCGGCACTGCGCCCGCCGGGTGGGCGGCGCCAACAAGCGGGTTCGACCTTCGCCGACACTCGCGCGTGCGCTGCCCGCGTCAGGCCGCGCGTGAGCGCCGTCTTCTCCAATGTTCGGAGGCTTAGAGGTTGACACCACCACCACCACCAACATCGGCGGCGTGCCTCTACCGAGGGAAGCAGATGCCGATCTCGGTGATGGTGGTAGTATTCGGGCTTCCTAGGTGGCCGACAGGTTATTGCCACCAGCACCAGAATCTAGGATCGCCTTCCCCCGGTTGAGGCCCCCCCCACCCTGTGCTGGTGCTGGTGCTCATTTCCAGGCCTCCACAACGCCGCGTGCCACGCGGGTGGCCCGCGTAGGCCGCTGCCCGCGTGGGCCGCGGTGCAAGGTCCGCTATTCGGCGGCGCGCGGAGGGGGGGGGGGGGGGGAAGTGAGAGAAGGCCTTCTCCGAAGGCGGCGGGGCTTCTCGGAAGCCCTCGTGCCTTCCGAGACGTCTGCTGCGCCTTCGGGGAAGTCTCACAAACATCTTCCAGAAGGCCCAAAGGCCTCCCAAGCCTCTGAGCAGGCCCACGCCCTCTCTTTTTTTTTTTTTTTTTTTTTTTCTCTCTCTCTCTCTCTCTTTCTCTCTTTCTTTCTCTCTCTCTCTCTCTCCCCCCCGGGCTCGCAGCCGAATGCTACCTCGCGCGAGGCCCGTTTCATCGGGAGGAGGGGGAGGAGGAAGAGGAGGAGGAGGAGGAGGAGGAGGAGGAGGAGGAGGAGGAGGAGGCG